CCCCTGGTGTAAGAAGGGACTTTGGGAGCCCATCCCACATGGAGGGATGCGCTCGCAGCCTGGACACATGGCAGGAGGGCCTCGGACCTACCCAGGATAATGTGACAGACATTGGGGACGCCACCATAGAGGGCCTTACCCTCCTGAGGAGCAGAGGGAGGACAAGGTGGGGGGCTGGTGAGAGGGAGGGAGGGAGGGGGAGAAGGGACTGACATGTGAAGCAAGCTTGTTTCTAATTTGAACTAATAAAAAAAAATTAATTCCTTAACGGAAAAAAAGTTCCTTTTATTTCCAAGAAAACCTGTGTGTGTGTGTGTGTGTGTGTGTGTGTGTGTGAACATAACACAACCCCTGCAAAAATATCTATATATACACAAACCTCACCTGAATTCAGAACATCAGTTCAGTGCTACCAGCAGCTGTGGGGACACAGGTAGAAAGTCACAGATAAGTTTGCATTCAAGGCTAGCCTGGGCTACACAGTAAGGCGCTGTCTCAAAAGCCAGAAATGAACACAATGTTATTATGACAGGGGCTAGGGATATACCCATTAATGGCGTATTTATCCAGCAGGGCAGGGCCCTGGTTTCCTCCATCCCTACCACAGAATCAAGAACCAGTCAGTCAAATATTGTGGTATTTAATGTGATCACCAAAGACACCGAAAACAAAGCAGCACTCACACAAGAATTCAATATAAGACACATGCCATAAGTTAGTCCCAACACAATCATAGTCTTCAAAACTAGCTCAACCGAGGGCAGGGAGCTGACCTTATATCAAACTGATACCCAAAATTTTCTGATTGAGGCCCCAGGCTTTTCTGGGCAGACACGGTGGCCTCTTGCTCTTAGTGCTCTCTGAGGTAAGACACTCACCCACCCCCCAACCGGTGTCAATATATTATTACCTAGGCCAGTCCTGAACTCATCTACCAGCAACTCCCCTGCCACGGCCTCCTCTGTGCTGGGACTCTGGTTGGGAAGCAAGCACACATTTCCAATAGGCCTGGACCTCTGGTCCCAATTCATCCTGCAAGTAACTGGGAATGCAGGCCTATATATACTACCACGCTGGGTTTCCTCCAATACCTGTCTAAGGCCTCCAATGGACCTGACACCGAGGCAGTCACCCATTCAGTTCATGTGTACTGAGTGGTGCTCAGGACAGTGCTGAGCAGGAAGAGCAAACGAAATGAGCCATCTCCCCAGACGATTCTCAAAGGTCATCAACAGAACCACACAGGGACTAGCATGGCCAACTCCAGGAGCTCTGACAACCTTGAGGTGCCAGGGAACACTTTCCTCAGAAGCCAGTCTCCCCCCGTCAGAGTCATACACGCTTAGACCCCTCTGCTAGACTGCATCTTCTCTGTGGCAAGGCCATCCCAGGCCCAGAGAGCTGGCAAGTTAGAAGGAAAACTGGACTCTCAAGGACACTTAGTCAAGGTATTTAAGCCCTGGGGATAGCTTGCCAGTTCTGTCATTGCCTCACCCAGTGTGGTACCCTGGCTCCCATGACCCTAGAGCAGCCAGCACTGCTCTGGCTGCTCATTTTAACCATGTTACACAAGTAGACTGAGCCTCTTTCCTTTCTTTTTCTGTTCCACTCTTCTCACCCTAGTTTCTCTCTCTCTTATTCTTTAAGACAGCATTGTTGCTGGACGGTAGCTGTGCACACCTTTAATCCCAGCACTCGGGAGGCAGAGGCAGGTGAGTTCGAGTACAGCCTGACCTATAGAGTGAGTTCCAGGACAGCTAAGGCTGTTACCCTGAGGGGGGAAAAAAATCAAACAAAAATAAAATAAATCAAACCATGAAAGACAGGTGTGTGTGTGTGTTTGTGTTGCATGCCTGTAACCCCAGAACCCAGGAGGTAGAAGCAGAACTTCAAAGCTACTCTCAGTCAGTCTCAAAAAATGAAGAAACAAGGGGCTGGAGAGATGGCTCAGAGGTTAAGAGCACTGACTGCTCTTCCAGAGGTCCTGAGTTCAATTCCCAGCAACCACATGGTGGCTCACAACCATCTGCTATGAGATCTGGTGCCCTCTTCTGGTGTGCAGATATACATGGAAGCAGAATGTTATATACATAATAAATAAATAAAATCTTAAAAAAAAATAAAATAAAAAAATGAAGAAACAAGCAGCCCTTTGAGCTGGACACACTGGGATAGGCCTGTAATTCCATCAGAAGTTCAAGGCCATCTTTTACTACATAACAATTAATGCCAACCTGGATTATAGGAGACCCTGCTTCTGATAACCCCCAAACACATCTCTTGTGAGGCCAATGTTGTACTTGAAGCTCAGAGGCAGCAGGATACACCTGGTGGGGGAGGGCAGGGGCCCCTGAAGGCTACCCTGAACTGGCTCTCAGACTCTGAATGTCATCTCTTTCTTCACCTGCTCAGATCAGTGTCCGATATTTTCCCACTGACCTCAAGTCCAGTCTCAGCAGCATCAGTCCCTGCCTGTGTATATTTATTTTATAACACTACTAGGGCCCAGGTCTCTACCTGAGATGGGGACCCTACAATCTACAAATAACATACTTACAAGCCCCTGCTGGATGACAGAGCCACAGTGCTCTCCCTGAAGACTCTCAAGACACTTTGTGTGACCTCCAAGTCCTGCCATTAACTTTTTTTGGTTTTTTGAGACAGGGTTTCTCTCTGTAGTTTTGGAGCCTATCCTGGTACTCGCTCTGGAGACCAGGCTGACCTCGAATTCACAGAGATCCACCTGTCTCTGCCTCCTGAGTGCTAGGATTAAAGGCGTGCACCACCAACACCCGGCTGCCCACAACTTTTTTAAGTGCTCACATGACAAAGCCTTGGTTCCTAGCTTACATGACTAGGAGGGTCTGTAGGTTTTAAAGGTATAACTGGCAGGGCTTATGGAATCCAAATCTCCTCTTCCTTTTTTCCTGGCTATGACATATGTGAATGGTTTTGCCTATCTATATACATCCATGGTGGTATCAGTTCTAAGACACCGCCCCCCCACACACATAAAAACTTTTCCTTTTGAGATCATCACATTATGCAGCCCTGGTGGTCTCAAACTGGCTATGCAAGCTATACTGGCCCAGAACTTGGAGCTACCCTCCTGCCTACACCTCCCCAGTGCCACCATATATATACTGGGAACTTTTTCTCTAAACAGTTTACTGCCTCAAGTTATGGATTTATTACAATGACAGAAAACTAGCGAGTCACCCTTTCATCTCTTCAATAAAACTTCATCAATGACCTTATGATGAATCAGCTCAAAAGACAGAAAGACACCGTTTCTCTGTCAGTCTCTCACTTGCTTTTGAAAAACTCCCAGACAGCCACATGAAAGCTGTTGATGGGTTAAGGAGAAGTCCAATTCTCAGAAATGACTCAAAATAAGATGCCCTTTTTGCCTATCAAATTACACAGAGATTACTCAAGCAAAAGGCAGAGGACCTGCACCTCATCTAGCGCTCAGTGACTCACACAAACATGCTAATAAATACCTGCCCTTAAGCTCTAGGACCATCACAAGCTACAGGCCTTGTCAACAGAGAGGTCCAGTTAGGGGTACACAGCAAGACTTTCAAAAAGTCTCTTCACACAAGGTCACATCGTAGCCCTCGGCCTACTATGCACAAATGCTCACCACCATGCTATCTGTACCACAGGAAATCTGGGGCTCATCTCAGTAATAGGACGGCAACTGTGAGTACAGAGTACCCTGCAGCCACTAAAATCGTCAAGCTAAATTTTCAGTCACATTTCTTTCATCAATTGGATTAAAATCTATGACACTCCCATTCAGATTCCAGTCTCTGCCAGAAAGCCTACTTTCTGTCTGTAAATGATTGCTGAGTGACTCTTACCTTTAATGGAAACATTCTAACGAGCACTAAAAGATCGTAATTAAAGGAAAACAGAACAAAAGAGAGGCGATTCACAAAAGGGAGCAGTGTGAGCTCACGGCTGTGTCCAGCCTGCCCAGTGCCCCAGTCACACAACTACTATGACAGGCCCCGGCACTCAGCCCATGCTGCCTGGTCACAAGCAGCACGGAAAGGGAGTCTTTTCTCCAGCCCAACACTTGAGTGGCACGTGGCCTTGAGTCTGGGCATCTGCTGCTCTCTGCCAACCACACTGGAGAGGGAAGATGGCACAGGACATTCCCGTGACTGCTATCTGACAGTCAGAGAAAAGATGTGAGGCTCGAACAACGACTGCAGCTGGGACTGGGGCTTGTCAACAGTTCCCAGGCAGATGCTGCAAGTGGGGGCAGGGGACATGCCCTGCAAAGAGAAAACAAGGCAAGTGCCTGACAATGTGACTCATTATTATTGCATCTGATTCTGGTGGCTCTCAGTTTCTCCCTCTTTGAAAGCTTAGTAAGACAAGGTCCCAGAGTTCCTCAAGCTCAGATAAAAGAATGGTTCCTTCCATTGGCAGCATTCAGAGCCTCACAACCAGGGTCAAACAGACTCAGTGCTTTCCAGGTGATGCTTAGACAGGTACTGGGGACACAAGCTTTGCTCAGTTTACTCTGACAACACCCAGCCATTCAGACTCAGACTTCTGCCCTTGTGTGGACATGAAGAAAACAGTCACTGGTGAAGCATGCCACCAGGAACCACTAGGATAGTCCATGAACCGCCCAGCCCCCGGGTCTCTTTTCCCGCACTAAGCACCCGCCTGCTCATCACTGAGGCTGCTGGAGGGCAGATCAGCGCAGCCCCTCTTCCCTGGATGGTAATGCCTTCCTCTTTTCTCAATGACTGTGGTCTCTCAAGTCTACTACTGATAACAAAGTGCTGCACAGACACAAACAGCACCACTGCTTTTGCCTACAGATTATTTTTAAACGTCTGTGGTCACGATGACAGCAAATCAACAGGCAGTCAGTTGTTACCCCATTATCACAGGTGTCTTCCATGGCTAGTGGCTCCTTGGGATCTGCTGTCCATGCTGAGGACCAAAATCCTACTGGGGAGCCCCATGCTCAAATGGTGCTGGCCTGTCTGGCAAAGGTTATGAGTTTTAAAATAAGAATTTCTTCTACAGAGGATCCATCCCCACATCAGGAGGGGATCTAAGAAACACGACTTGAAACTGAAGAAAACAAGAGGCAATTTTCTTTCAGGAATTAAAACAAACAAAATGTTACTAAAAAACTATATTTTAGAAACCAAAGAGAGAATACAACAATTTCTAACATGAAAATGGGGAGTGACAGATTCCCATGGTCCTCTTCATTGTGAAGGAGAAAGTAGGACCCATGAAAAGCAACAGGACTTGCTCAGTGGCAGGAAGCCACACACCAGTACACAGCAGAGTGCAGAAGCAAACAGCTTACAAATCCAGACATACTTAAGTACTTTTTATCTTTTTATAAAACTAACTGTATTTGTTTAATACATAAAGGTGCTTTCCCTTCATGGACGTGTGTGCACCACACGTATACGCATGCCTGGAATCCACTGAGGGCAGAAGAAGGTGTCAGATGCCCAGGGACTGGAACTCCAGGAGTTTGTAACCGACCATGTGGGTGCTGGGAATCAAATCCAGGTTCTAAGAAGAGCAGCCAGTGCCCTCAATTGCCGAGGTCTCCCCTGCTCAAGTACTTTCTACATGAAGAAAGCAGTTGTGAGCCCCAGACTTGGTTGGCTAAGTTCAGAAACCAAGAAGCAGCAGCTCCCTTAGAAAGACATTATCTTTCCCATGGGCCAGTGCCCAGAACAATCACAAGACCCTAGGTGTTTGATGGTGTCTGAATGTAGGTAGGCAGACCAATAGCAGTAGCAGTCCTCCAAAAAGGGCACAGTCCTGCACTTCTAGGACTGCTTAGATGCATTTCCTGGTTGTAGCACAGTAGGAAAATGGACAACAGGTAATATGCATATTACCTCTTCTAGATGGCCTCCTAGGGGCCAGAATAAAGTAATGCAGCAACAGAGTAAGAACTGGTCAGAGTCTCCAAATCTGGGGGACAGGTGCCAAGAGACCTCAAGCAGCCCCCATTCATCAAGCACCACTGTATCAGACCAGTGGGGAGGAAGCCTCACTTGGCTAGCTCTTGTCCAGAAGGTGCCTGGATCACAGGAAGGAAACCTAGGAAAAACAAGGAAAGGGAAACTGGAAGCTGAGAACCAGGGCCAAGTATGAAGGCCTAAGAAACAGTTACAGCAGGGCTTGCAGATGCCTCCTGAGGAGAAAAGATGCTTAAGCAGGAGAGGTGCAGAGTCCAGGGGGAGGGGAGCAGATCCCAGTTGTGGGATGCAGGATGCTCCTACAGTCACAACTATTTTCTGGACAAAACGTTAAGTTACAGAGCTAGGAGCATGGCTTAGTGTCTAGAATTGGGCAGTAAGGACTCTTTATGGGATAAAATGCGGATTGCAGAAATGTCTATAGCTACTTGAATGGGCCAATGTGGTGACAAGGAGGCGGCCAACCCAGCCCTTGAGACAAAATCTTACTAGATATTCCTGGCTAGCCTGGTCTACATAAACCAGGCTGGCCTCAAACTCAAGAGATCTGCCTGCCTCTGCCTCGCCAGCACTGGAATTAAAGGCGAGTGCAAGCATTGGCTGGGTGAGCAGTTGTTATTCTTGTAGATAATCCTGAGTTTATTTTCTAGCACCCATATTGGGGCTATACCATCCTTAAATCTAGTTCCAGATGCTCCAATTCTCCTTCTCCAAGGACAGCAGGCATGAATTCATAATGAACATACAAACATGAAAGCAAAACACTCATATACATAGAGTAACAGCAATACATCTTTTTGTTGCTGTTTTTTTCCAGACAGGGTTTCTCTGCGCAACAGATCTGGCTGTCATGGAACTCACTCTAGACCAGGCTGGCCTTGAACTCAAGAGATCTGCTTGCCTCTGCCTCCCAAGTGCTGGGATAAAAGACGTGCCATCTCGCCCGGCTTATAGCAATTTATCCTTTTTTTTTTTTTTTTTTTTTTTTTTTTTTTTTTTCGAGCCACGGTTTCTCTGTGTGGCTTGGGAGCCTGTCCTGACACTCAGTCTGTAGACCAGGCTGGTCTTGAACTCACAGAGATCCGCCTGCCTCTGCCTCCCAGAAATTTATCCTTAAAAAAAAAAAAAACAAAAAACAAAAAACTTTTCCATCATTTTCATAAAAACTATCTTACATGGACATCTGTATATGTACATGCAGGTCCCCAAGAGGATGTGAGACATGCTTGCTATATGGACACTTAAAATTCAACTCTGGTCCTGTGTAAGATCTGCAAGCCATCTTAGTCTCTGAGCCATCGCAGTGATCCCCTTATGTTTATCTTGAACCTGTCCGTAGTCAGGAGAGGAAGGACGTGACTTACCGTATGCAGCCTTTGCACCCCATTCTACCCTATCCTGCCTAGCGACTACTCTTTGTTATGCTCTCCAGCCCTGCCCAGCTTTCCTTGCAGGTGACTTTCTGCAGGCACCACCAGCAGTTGCTTATAGGCATACAAGTGCTCCCTGTATTCTCCCCAACACCAGGATTTGGTAGAAATAGAAATCTTTTATAGAAAAAGTACCTTAATGGACAACCCCAACTCTAACATAAGCTTTGCTCTAATATTTTAAAAAAGAAACACAACTCTCCTGTCCAGAGATGAATATAAGCAGGAATCTCATCTTAAGATTACTGTCGAGCCAGGTGTTGGTGGCGCACGCCTTTAATCCCAGCACTCGGGAGGCAGAGGCAGGCGGATCTCTGTGAGTTCGAGGCCAGCCTGGTCTCCAGAGCGAGTGCCAGGATAGGCTCCAAAGCTACATAGAGAAACCCTGTCTCCAAAAACCAAAAGATTCTACCTTCTGATCAGTAGAGATGATGATGATGACCTGAGATAGCATCCCCCTATGTGGAGTGGGTTCCCAAGTCCATTCGTATGCTAGGGATAAATAATAATCCGCTACCAGAGGCTGAATAGATTGCCCAGGTTTCCTCACTGAAACTCACCCTTACCCTGCTTTTTAAAGGGTTTTAAATTTTAATTACATATCCGTTTATCTGTGTGTGTGATGTGGTGGTCATGGCGGTCTGTGCTTGTGAGTGCAGGTGCCCTCAAAGACAATTAGTATTGGACCTCCAGAAAGCTGGAGTGACAGATATAATGAAGTCTTGAATTTCTCTTTTTTTTTATTAAAGATTTTATTTATTATGTATACAACATTCTGCTTCCATGTCTATCTGCACACCAGAAGAGGGCACCAGATCTCATAGCAGATGGTTGTGAGCCACCATGTGGTTGCTGGAAATTGAACTCAGGACCTCTGGAAGAGCAGTCAGTGCTCTTATCCTCTGAGCCATCTCTTCAAACCCCTCCCTTTTTTTTAAAGTGATGTATTTTATGTGTTTTGCCTGCATGCGTGTCTGTCACACCCCTAGAACTGGAGTTACAGACAGTTGTGAGCTGCCATGTGTGTGCTGGGAACTGAACCCAGATCCTCTGAAAGAGCAGCCAGTGCTCTCAAATGCTGAGCCATCTCTCCAGCCCTGCTCTGTTTTGTTTGTTTGTTTTGGAGACAAGTTCTTATACCAGAGCCTAGGCTAGATTTGATTTTATGGCGATGTCTGACTTTAAAAGAGAAAAGATCGGGCTGGAGAGATGGCTCAGAGGTTAACAGTGCTGGCTGCTCTTCCAGAGGTCCTGAGTTCAATTCCCAGCAACCACATGGTGGCTCACAACCATCTATTATGAGATCTGGTGCCCTCTTCTGGTGTGCAGATATACATGGAAGCAGAATGTTATATACATAATAAATAAAATCTTAAAAAAAAAAAAAAGATCAACAGACAGGTGAGCCAATGGAATTGAATCGAAGACCCTGATGCTAATCCACACACCTGTGAACACCTGATTTTTGACAAAGACGCTAAAATTATACAATAGAGAAAAGAACGCATCTTCAGCAAATGGTGCTGACATGTAGAAGAATGGAAATAGATCTGTCTATCGCCATGCATAGACCTCGAGTCCAAATGGATCAGAGACCTCAACATAAAAGTAACCACACTGAATCTCATAGAAGAGAAAGTGGGAAGTAGCCTAGAATGCATTGGCACAGGAGATCACTTCATAAATATTACACCAGTAGCACAGACATTGAGAGCAACAATTGATAACTGGGAGCTCCTGAAACTGAGAAGCTTCTGTAAGGCAAAGGACACAGTCAGCAAGACAAAATGGCAGGCAGACCGGGAAAAGATATTCACCAACCCCACATCTGACAAAGTACTGATCTCCAAAATATACAAAGAACTCAAAAAACATCAAAAGACCAAATAATCCAATTAAAAAATGGGGTACAGATCTTAAAAAACAAAAAACCTAAAAAAAACTCCACAGAGGAATCTCAAATAGCCAAAAGACACTTAAGTGCTCAACATCCTTAACCATCAGGGAAATGCAAATCAAAACAACTCTGAGACACCAAATTACACCTGTCAGAAAGGCCAACATCAAAAACTTTGATGACAGTTTATGCTGGGACTTGAACTGAAGTCCTCATAAGTAACTGGAGAGGATCTACTGAGCCATCTCATTAGCCCCAGGCTCCATAACCGTCTGTTACTCCTCCCTCGTCCCTCGTGTACTGGTTACTGGTCTTGTTCTTTTGACAGGTGCTACCATTCTTCATTAAGCATTTTCAGACTTTCTGGCACAGCAGGATGTTAAGAGCTCACCTGTAATTTTCCTACCCCAGCTCTGGAATCATCCATTTCTCTGAGAAACACTGGTTCCACTTAGTGGAAAAAGATGCCAACTACTGTGATCTAAGTGAGTGAGGTCAGTCCTTCCAAGGTGCCTTTGAT